GGAAGAGCGCGAAGCTGTTGAAGGGGCGCCCCGGGCGCCGCCAGACGGAGGCGGGGGTGCGAAGGGGAGGACGAGGAGAATGCTCCGGGTGGGAAAGGGGTCCCGGTTTCGAGGCCCGAGCGCCGGTCCCCATCAGCAGCGGATGAGGGACGGTGGCTCAGCCGCTGCGTGGGGCCGGCCCCGCAGCCCGCGTCCGTCCCGAAGCCCCGGCCGGTGCACTTGGGAACCGCGCGGGACGCGGGTCCGGGGCTGGGCCTGCCTGAGCGCCCCTCCTCCTCCTCAGGTCTGGTTCAAGAACCGCCGGGCCAAGTGGCGACACCAGAAGCGCACATCGGCGTCCGCGAGGCTCCTGCCGGGAGCCAAGAAGCTCCCGAAGGAGAGCTGCTGACGGCTGCAGAGTTACTCCTGGACTCGGTGGCACCTTCTGGGGCCGGCTCAGGGAGAGGACAGACCTACCCTAATAGGAGTTGGGAGAGGACGCCAGCCTCTAACCTGGTGTCTGTCCAGTTGCCTGCGTCCTGGAGCTCAACGCGGGAGCCCCTCTGCGTGTGTCCCCGCGCCACCCGCCCCGCGGAAGGAGAGCGCATCGACGCTCCGTGCTCCATGCGCCTTCCCTCCCAAGCGCAAGCGGGCAGGAGGGCCAGGGAGACTCGGGGGTGGGGTGCGGGGCACAGAGCAGATCAGCTTCCTCAATCCCCCACCACACGCCAGGAGGCACCAAGCCACCCCAGGACAGGAGCCACCCCTTGTCAACAGTGGCACCCAGCGTCCTCATCCCCGCCCGTTTCCTGTTGGCCTCAGTCATCTCCTCAGCAGGGACGCAGCCCCCTTGACTGGCCTAGAACCCTCCAGAGGCTGGGCGGGTGGGGTCTCTTCGTCCTGGGGCTGGTGCCAGGGGCCTGGGCGTCCTGACCCGTGGAATAAGAAGGCTGGGTGAGGTAATCTCCAAGCCCCGTTCCCGCTGCTCAATCTTGTGAGTCTTGTGTGGATATTGAGAAATAAACAAGCTACTACAAGCTCTGAGAAAGCAGTCCAGACTCGAAGGCTTCCGTGGCTCCACTCCACACCCAGCAGGGACCTGCCCCTCCTCTCCTTCCCAGGGAGTGGGGGGCAGGCTTGTCGCAGCCCGGTGAGTCCTCCGTCCCTGTGCCAGGGTGGGCCCAGCAGAGCAGACTGCCCCACAGATCGTGGCCCGGCACCCTGCACTGGCCTCTAGGAGCTGCTTCTTGGGTGGGGGTCCTTGGTTTCCTCGCTCTGGGGTTTCCATGCAGGAGTGTCTGCCTCCCTCACAGCAGCCAATCTCTGCCACCCTGTGGGGTGGGACCAGGTTCAATTGGGAGAATCCCCCCCTCCACTGCCTTGGAAAATGCTGTCCCCTCCATCATCCTGGCCCCAGCAAGAAGGACAGCGTGAAAACAAGGCCTCATTTCCCCAAGTTGGCCTGTATGGTGGGCGCGGGGCACCTAACACCCCCCTCACCTGGCGTGGGGACTTTGTTCTGCCTCCTCACAGGTCCTGGAGGGATGCAGGTGGGTATCTGGCAGGAGACACAGTCCCTCCACAAAAGGTGCAGAAGCCAGGGCAGCTCCTGGGCGGAACTCTCTGAGGCAGGTCAGCTCAGAGAACAGAGCGTGAGGTGTCCCTGGGCAGGACAGCAGCTCTCACTCAGCCTCCAGGATGCACACTTCCTGCTGTCACAGAGCCTGTTTTCCTGAATGCTGGCTGTATCCCTGGAGATGGCACAGCCTGCCTGTGGAGCTTCCCTATGGCTGGGACACCCTCATCCCCCTGGTCCCAGAAAGCTCACCCTTGTTGGTTGAGTGGCTTTACGTCATGGTGTGGGGCACCCATGATCAGTGCTCTGCTTTCAAGGGACCAGTAGTTATGCTGCCCTCTGGCTTTTCCCTCCTCTCCAGCTATCTTGGGCAGGCTCGCCCCACAGCTGCCTGTAACACAGGTGTCCTTGGGCCGAGCCCAGACTCTCCCCTCTCGTATCCATTCTCACCCTGGTTTATCTCATCCACCCTCAGGCTTGAGTCCCATCTCCATCTCACATTTACATCCCAGCCCAGGGTTCTCCCCTGTGCTAGGCAGTTATGTCTAGCTGTCCCTTTGATGACTCCACCTGGAAGCCCAGGGCTCCTCTAGGTCACTTTGTTCATGGCAGGCTGTTTTCCTGTGCGTCCCTGGTGAGTGAGCCAGAGAGCTAGAGGCAGGCGCCCTGACCCCTCTTCTCCCTCACCCACCAAACCCAGGCCAACGGCAAGTCGATTTTACCTCCCCAAACATTCCCAGAATCTGCCTTCTCCCCAGCTTCGACTGCACCAGCCTGATGAAAATCGCTGTCATCTCTCACCTTGACCGTTGCAGCTGCCTCCAACTGGTCCACCTGTACTTACTCTGGTTCGTCTGTGATTCATTCTCCATAAAAGTCAGGGTGCAACTCTGAACATGCCTCTCCCCTGCCTACAGCACTCCCAGGGCTCCCACTGCTCCCAGAACAAAGACAAAACTCCTCGCCGTGACCCATGACCCATGACCCACGAGCCCCGTGCAGCCTGGCCCTGCCCCTCTGGTGTCAGCTCCCACCCCACTCCTCCTTGCACTTTGTGTATCCAAAGGTATCCTCCCACTGGAACTTTGCACATGCTCTCCCCCTCCACCTGTTCAATGCCTGTTCATCCTTTGGATCTGCAACCACTTCCTTCCTGGGGAACTTCCCCTGACTGCCCCCTAGGTAGGCTACCACCTAGGTAGCCTGGGTAGGATGCCCGCTAGGTAAGATGCCCCCTGGGTAGGATGCTCCCTAGGTAGGATTCTTTTTTTTTTGCACCTACCTGCTGCTGTGTTATGCTTGTTTGCGGGATGATCTGATTAGTGTCTGTCTTCTGCATTCAACTGTCAGCTCCACAAGGGGAGGAATCATACCATGGAGTCCCCACTGAATTGTACTGAATCGTTCTGGGGCAGAAATTGTTTGACATAATTTACAACCTTTTGGGAAGACATGATCTTTCGTGAGAAATACTTAGACAATTTTCTTGTCCATTTCAATGAGGATTAGCCTTCTGGGAAGCCAACTCGGGCACTTAGGCACCAGACATTTCTTGCATAAACTTTGAATAAAAAGTTTGAAACATATATAACCAAAATTTCGGAAGCGTATTTTTTTAATAACATAGAAGCGTATATTGATTATTTGCGAGAAACTGAAATTCCAAGGCTTCCAATTCCGTAGTGCTTTAATTTTTCACGACTAGCGGGAGCAACATGCCCCTAGACCCTACCGCAGCGCCCCATGGCTCCCACAGCCCAGATACTAAAGACCAGAGCGGGGCGGGACGAAGACTACAACTCCCACAAAGCTCAGGGCTCATGGTGACTTCACACGGAGCGCGGGCCGGCCTTCGAAACGCGCGGCTACCCCATTGGTAGGGCTGTTTCAGGCGCCTGCGCAGTTGGAGCGCCCCGCCCCCCGGCCTGCGCCGCGCCTGCGCCGCCGGGGCGGTGCTGGGCTAGCGATGGAGACGCCTGGCGCTGCGGTGCGGGCCGTGCTGGTGCCCGCGGCGTCCGGGACCCGGAGGAAGCGCGCCGCCGGAGAGGCCGGGGCTCCGACGAGCGGGCAGCGGGTCCTGGACGAGGATGAGTACATCGAGGTAGGACTCGGCGTGGACGCCAGCGATTTCCAGGCCACGTCCCTGCCCCGCGC